TTAGAACCCTAGGGCAGAGAGAAGTCTTGTTCAGCCTAAGGCAAGAGGAAACAAATCACCCCAGACAAATAGGAGATGCCATCATTTTTTTTTAAAGGTAAACGAGGTAGGTATGACAAAGTCTCTGTTCAAATGAGGGATTTTGGTGAAGAAATTATACTAAACAATGGAGTTGGCTATTGCCAATTGCTGGCTAAAGTACTTCCAAGCAATCTGATTAGGGATTATAGTATATTGGCTTTTGGATGAAGATAACTGATGGCGTAGAGGAAACTTCTAACTATTGGCTGAGGGGATGAGCCGTTCTATCCTTTGGTCTACAGAAAAGCTAGCCTTTTCTCAACTACGTGTATTCGTACAAGTTACCTCCCACATAGATGTTGGCTTCTCAATTCCCCTTCTCAGAATCCATTCTTCCTTTAGGGTTCAGGTCAGGTTGTTACATTCTCTGAAATCTCTAACTCTTCCAGAAGAAAGAAGTAACTCAGTTTGTAGTGTGTTAAAAAAAAAAAAAGATAACCCAAAATGTAGCAGAAAAGGTAGGGAGGAACCAGATAGTGAAGGGTCTAAAATGTTCTGCCTTTCCTAGGAAACAGTTATTGACTCACTTTCAAAGCAGAGAGAGCATTATTAGAGCTCCTGTCTTGGTTTTTCATATAGTTTAGCAATATTTGAAGTATCAGATGAAAAAAGAAACATTCACCCCTAACTTATTCTTATATGCTCCATGAGGGCTAGTTTAATTTTTGCCCTCTGTATCCCCAGCAACTTGCCTAGTACAAATTATTAATAATAATAAATTTGTGATGTTGTTCAGTTGTTTCAGTCATGTCTGACTCTGTGACTTCACTTGTGGTTTTCTTGGCAAAGATACGATAGTGGTTTGTCATTTCCTTCTCTAAGGAAACTGAGGCAAACGAGGTTAAATGGCTTGCCCAGGGTCACAAAGCTAGTAAGTGTCTTAGGCCAGATTTGAACTCAATGAAGATGATGAAGATGAATCTTCCTCGACTCCAGGCCTAGCACTCTATCCGCTGCACTACCTTACTGCCCCAATAATAGTGCTTACTATGTGCCAGAAATTGTGCTAAGACTTTTGCAATCTCATTTGTTCCTCATGACAACCTTGAGAGAAAAGTACTAATTAATAAATGTTTGCTGAATTGAATTAAAAATTCAGTTATATTTCATTCTTTGCACTATTTCAATTGGCAACAGATTTAGTAGTTTAGTGCTCTGTTATCCAAAATTCACCAGCTGTATTTTTTTTAACCTTTTCATCCTAGTTTTTGAGGAAAGCCAAGCTGAGAATTCTCTTTTTCAAGAGTACGATGGCCTGTTGAAATATGATAGGAAACCTTTTTTTTTCCCACAGGATTTGGATACTTTTGAGATTGTTCAGAGAAGCTGAGATGTTTCAAGTGTTGTGGAAATATTTGCTCACCAGCATGCCAAGAAAATTAGATGTCAGTACGGATTTGGGAAATGTTATCTTTAAGGGAGCTAGTCAATGGCACAGCCAAAAATATCAAAATATTTTCAGAAGGCTTTAGATTGCCAGTGAATGTAATAAAGATTTGGTCAAGCATTCTCCTTGCTAAAAATCTAAGGGGGTTCCCCATGATTTAAACCTTATTTTTTTTAGTCTAGACATATATTTGATTGGCGTGGAGGAAATTCCTGTGTGGAAGATTCATCCACTGATATAGAAAGCAGCCACAGGATTCTTCTGTCACGCATAGAGTTGCCTGGGGGCACAGAGATGTAAAGTGATGTACAGGATCACAGAACCCATGTATGTCAGAGGCAAAATTTGAAAACAGGTCATCTGACATCTAGAAATCATTTCATAGATTAAAAATATCGGTTTGGCTTATTACTGTCTGAAGATGTGGGTTCAGGACAAGGCCTGTTCAGAAATCCTGAGAAATTTAACCCTCTCTCCAGAGTGAAATTGATCCATTAATCACCATTCTTCGGATATGATCCTTCAACCAGTTTTAAATCCAACTTTCATTTGATTTGAAATAATGTTGTTGTTCAGTCATTTTCAGTTGTGTCTGATTTTTTGTGACCCCATTTGGAGTTTTCTTGGCAAAGACACTGGAGTGGTTTGTCATTTCCTTCTCCAGTCATTTTACAGATGAGGAAACTGAGGCAAGCAGTGTTGTGATGTGCCCAGAGTCACAAAGCTATTAAGTTTCTGAGACTGGATTTGAACTCATGAAGATGAGTCTTCTGGTTCCAAGCACCGAGCTCTATCCACTGAAAAACATATGAAGAGTTTGACATGGGGACATTAAATAAGTTCATCAGCTATTCTCTCTTTTCACCTCCCCCACCCCAAATTTATTATTTGCCTCCATTTTATAGAGGAAGAAAGCCATATTTGCTTATAATAAAATCATGAGCCAAAATGGCTAAAGCATCTTCAAGTTCCTTCAGCTCATCCTGTAAGATAGCTGTTATTACCTATTTCCTCTGAAAAGTCTTTTCCACACTGAACAGCCACAAATCTTTATATGGCCATGGTTTTCAGTCCCCTTACCATCCTGGAGTCTTCTCCCTGGATACTGGTCAGCTTGTCAATGTCTTCCTAAAATATGACACCAGAAATTAACATGATACTGGAAATGTTGTATGAACAGCGAAGAATGTAGTAGGACTGTTATCTCTTTCCTCTTGTACAAGATTAGTCTGTTCACATATTATAAGATCATCTTGCCTTCTTCCCCCTACTACACACTCGGGACTTTTGTGCCTTCCCACCAACTCTGAATCCAGGGGGTATGCTGGAAGCCACTCTAATGGGCTGGTGAGAGATGGTTGTTAAATTTTTTACTGTCAGCATTTACACCTCAGAAATCATGCTACAAATCAGGGCTTGATTTATGGTTTTGTTGATTAGCTAGACTTAAGGAAGTGTTAATAATGTGGATTAAATTTAAAAGTGTGTGTCTACTTACATTTCCCCAACTTCCCCACCCCATCCTAGCCAGGTTGATAAAATATTTACCAGCATACCCCCATCTTTTGCTGAACTTGCTTTCATGTGTTATATTCTCCAGTTATAGTGTGAGTTCTTTGAGAGTGAACTGTCTAGATTTTAATTTTGTATTGCCACTGCACAGTATTTGACACATAGAAAGTGCTTAATATATATTTTTCCTTCTTTCCTTCCTTCCTTCCTTTTCTTTCCTTCCTTCCCTTTCTTTCTTCCTTCCCTCTCTCCCTTCCTTCCTTCCTTTCTTTCTTTTTTCCCTCCTTCCTTCTTGTTTTCCTTCCATTTCAGTTTTTTTAATTTGATTGCCATATTTGAGAGTTTAGGCCACTAAAACTCCTAGGTTATTTTAATATAAACTACTCTGTAGCCATACCCTATATTATACTACCCTCAGCTTAAGAAGCTTAGAACTGGTCTCTTTTTGTTCAGGGTGGTTACAACTGTGATCTGCCATTATATCTGGGGAAATTCTCTTCCTTGTCCCCAACATAACAACCTTCCTGCACCCCAGATCCCAACTCATCTTTTCTTGGCAGCTGACATCTGTAATAGCTGCAGGCTGCTCTGTGCTCCCTGGTATTGGCCAATAAATAAGAACTTCATCTGTGGGGGTTCTGATTTTGTTGGGAAGAAGTAATTTTTAAGTATATAAATTAACCTGCTTGACTGTCTACAAAAATCAAATTAACTGAATAATTAATTACTAATGAACAACCATTATTTACCAGACTACTCTGCCCCCAGGACATGCACAAAGATTTTTTTTAAGTCAAAAGAGGATGCTTACTATCCAACAATTTGCCCTTCCTATACCTCAAGCTGTGTCCAGAAATCCAAACTTTATTCTCAATTTTCTTTCTTAAAAAAAAAAAACAACTTTTTTTCAGTGAACAAGAATCCATCTCCTCTTCCTCCCAGTTCCCCCTGCCCCATTAAAATAAAAGAAAAACAAAACCCTTATAACAAATATGATCCCCCTAAGCCTTTTCTTCTCTAGGTCAAATATCCCCAGCTCATTCAACTAGTCCTCATATGACATGATATAAAGTTCCTTTTCCATCTAGGTTATCCTCCTCCTCTTTGTCCTCCTTCTCTTCTTCTTGTTCTTCTTTCTTCCTGCCTTTTCAAGTTTCTTTTCTTTGTTTTCTTCCTAAAGCATTACTTCCGTTCTTTAAAAGAATACTTCACTTCTCCCTGATAAGCTAAAAAGGGGCATCCTCCAGGAATTATTCCTCTTGCCCCTTCACTGTCCCTGGCAGGGCAACCAATTTACATTCTGAACATGTGTCATTGGAAGGAACACAAATGTAGCAGTCTCTGCAAGTCACTGCTTTTGCCCTCTGTATTTGCTGAAACTGAAACCCTCCGCTCTTTCTTTTTAATTTTATTTTCCTACTAACTAACTGCCAAGTGTTTTGGCACAAAGCTTCTACGTGAACTTCCTACCTTTCTCTCTCACCTGGTACCAGGTACTACATGTTCAAGAATCTTTCACCTGCAGTTAGTATGTTCCTGCCCGTTTCCTATTGCAAACAGCTACCCTCAGCTGTTATCTGTGGGGTCTTCTAAAGAAATCAAACTCACAACCACAACTCACATTTCTCTTCTCTCCTTTCAGTGGCTGATCAGACATTACCTTTTGGTCTTTGCTTGTCATGTGTCTTCTGTGTGTTCCCAAGTTTTGAGTTCTTATGACAACTTTTTTATAATTTTTTCCCTTGTCTGCTCCTTCACTATGAGTTTTTCACTAATATCTGTGTGCCTATCTATAGCATCTCTTCTAATTTATGTGTGTGGGGGCAGGGCAGAGCAGAAGCACAGGACCGCTGTAGTTGATGGGTTCTCTGA